TAAAGGTTTTCTACCATTTATAAGTTACCATCTCGACTGAACTCCCCGTAAATGTGGTACTGGTATTAGTTTTGGAGGTTCTGCTCTTCTAAGGACACCCATGTTGTAGCATTGTTTCTAGTTCATAAAAGGTTGCCCGTTTAATAAATTGCTGGTAACTTTTTGAAACGATTATACACACTCTCAATGCAGGATACATCACTTACATTTTTTAGTGTGTTATAAATGCGAGGGATTGGTTTTCTCTTTCTTTTCTGTTCTAAGTTCTGTACGCAGTTTGATAAGGAAATTAATGTTCCTAATGTAACAGCAATTACTGTCTTTAGATATTAATGGCAAATTTAGGAATAAGGTCTCATCTGTTTTCAAGCGATTGTAATTTCCATACTCCCTCTGGAATGGTTCTCACTTTGCCGCGCAACGCAAATGCTGCGTTCACCGGTTTAGGAAATTGTAATTGGGAGTAATAAGCAGTCCAGCGGCCTAGACCCAGCCCTTTATCGTGGCACCTCATTGAGGGCTGCTCGCTCATTCGTTCATCTGTTCGGAGCTGAACGGCGCTTTTTCCCCTCCGCCTCCTCCTTCCCCTTCCCGCTGCTCGACGTATTCGATCACAGACCTTGCATGAAAACGCACGTTTCTAGCACATCACTGGCCACTCATCCAGTTCACCCTCCCCCTCCCCCGCCCAAAGTTCCCTCATTACGCATGCCTCTTGATATTGCGAGCGTGGTAATTCCAGCATCTATGTTCCGCCACTATCATCTCTATTTGCTTTCCACAAAAATCGTCGGCGCCGTTTAAAGCAGCTCCTGTCATTGCCGCCGTCCGGCCTCGCCTCGCCCTTCCCCGGGACCGCGTCGTTTTCCCGCCATTTCTGCCAGCGCTCCGCGCGCCAGGCGGGGCATTATAATTGGTGGCGCGGTTGCGACGGACTAATTAAAGTCTTTTGTTATAAATTACCGCCGCCCAACTCAGCGCGATTCGTTGGAGGGCGCTCCGCTCCCGCGGGGGTCGTAAGGCTGTGCGCCGCCCCCCTCCCCCCCGCTCGCCCGCGACTGCTCTACCCATCCGTCCATGACATTCAGTGCCTCGTTATGCGATCGGAAGTGCGAATGGAAACTTCCACAACATTTCTTTTCACTTTCTCGTGTACGTGGAATGCAGTGGTGCAATGCTGCAAATATTCGATGCCGTGATTTTTACGGAAATACACGTTTTTGGTGGTCCCTGATAACGAAAAGTTTTGTTTTTTTCAAATATCCGTTTGTGATTATCAGTCTGTATGTCTTTCTGTTTCTTTGTTTTTTTCTCTGGTGTTTTGAGATTATAATTCAGTCTGTTTACTTATCCGTATGTCTGAGAACCCATGCCCTACAAGGGGAAATTTTCCTCCAAATCGATAGTCCTTGATGAGGAAATTGAAATCGAGGCTCTGCGAATTTCAAGCTTTTCTTTTCATTTTTGCTGATATTTCGTTTGCAGCCCGTTTATTTCCAGTATTTTCTAAAAAAAATGGCTCCTATTCTTTTCTTTAAACACTTGCTTGAACAGTACCTATATAAAAATGACGAAATCCGATTTTCATTAAAACTCCTGACACTTGGTAATAAATTCTAATGTCACATTTATGAATACAAATGTGAACATGGTTAAGTCTTACTTAAAGGGACGCCTGCACTTTCATTATGGACTCTAGAGCTTTCTATTTTAATGCAATACTTTTCGTTTTTGGATGTTTAAATCATTTTACACATTTACTAAAATAATTAGTAATTTTAGGTCAAAATCAACAATTTTCTTAAATACCTAATAGATATTTTCTCAGAAATTGCTCTTTTTTTTATTTTTTTTAGCTAGAGCAGAATATACACAATTCTATGGAATATGTGTAATTTTCTTTAAAACTTTTGGATTTTCAAAATTTACAATTTAGTGTTTTTTTTAATTTCCGGTTCTTTGTCGGAGAAGAGGTTTTCAATAGATGGCTGAAGATAGAATCCAGTATTAAAAAATGTTAAAAATAATGCGAGAAAATAATGTGCTATTGTGGCCTCACATATTTTCTTTACTATTTTATCTACTCAAAATGTATCTTTTTGTTTGTAAAAAATTTTAATTGCTATTGATCTTCTCTGTTGATGGAAATATATTAAGTATGCAGCGTCAGGGCACTTCATTCGCTTTAGAACTTTCACTATACTTCCAAGATATGTCTTATTCGTTTTCTTTCCCGTTGGTGATTTTCTTGTCTGATTACACATCGCACTTTTGAATCGACCTATACGAAATCGTTGTTTAATGTGCTACGCAAAAGTTTTCGTCTCTTAACTTACTTCTTTGTAATAATGAAAAATTTAGATTATGATTATTTTAGCAAATGTAAAGAACCCTTCGTACTTGCGAACGCAAGTTAAATGAGCGTATTGTGCTAAAATAATCCTCGTTTGTGTAGGGCTTTAATATATACAAATGCGCGAATTTATGTTGAGCAACTGTTGGACTTAGTTTGAATTAAAACAACATTGCTCGGTATCTCGCCATGTATGTCATACTGCTTCCCAGATAAAATCTGCTTTTGGAACTCCTTTTCACTTTGTACCGTGCGCGCGTGTGTATCACTGATGAACGCTGCGCTCCCAATCCGCGTTAAGGACGGAATGAGACATTGAGAGCCTGGACCTTGCTGGCGCCGCCTCCGCCTCTCGGGAAAGAGATTGTGCGTCCTCTGCGAGTTTACAGCTTCACGCACGACGCCGCTGCCGCCGCCGGCGCTCCCCCTCACCCTCACCCTCACCCTCACTCCCGTCCGTTCCACTCGCTCGCGGTCTCCGCCCACGCCGCCGCACCCGCCCTGCCCGGACGCGCCCGCCCGCGCCACCACCGCCAACGTAGATAAAAGAGCGAGCGCCCTTCCAGCCCTCGATGGAAATTTTTCTCCCCCATAAAGTCGAGTGCGCGGTAGCCGGGGAAGGTGACAATGTGTTTTCTCATTCAAATTTTTATTTTCCATATTTTCCGTCCCAGCGCCCGGGCGGCCGAGAGCGGCGCCGCAGCGGCGGGAAGTGGAGGCGCGAGGCGCGAAATGGAAGAAGCGGAGAGGCGGGTCCGGTGCTCGCACCTTGCCTGATCGAGCGGCCCGGGAAGTTCTGACAGCGCTACGCCGGCTACGCGCGATCCGGGTCGCCGCGCGGTGAAGGATGTCGGACTTGTGAACAGGAATCAATTATCAAGTTGGAAGCGCGAGGCCGGAGGCGGAGGCGCCGCCTGCATTGTGAGGCGCGGATTCCTAAGTTTGCCGATTAATTCCGCTGCTCTTCCCAGACGCGCCTCCGCGCCTTACGCCCCTTCGCCTGCGTGCCACTGGGCCACCTTCAGTCCCTGGCCCCCCACACCTCCCTTTCTTTTTTTATTCAACTCGGTCTTTCGTCTTCTTGAGCAGCTTTTTAACGTTACTTCTTATACAATAATTTTCTTTTGTGCGCAACTTTCCATTGTTCGTTTTTCGGTTTGCCCACAAGTTCCTCTCAACCTAGAAACCGGCTTCTACTCCCGGTCGTGGAAAAAATAAATTAACCGTCTGTAAATAAAAAGGATGTTTTTTAAACGCAGATCGATACGTTAAAGCGATAGACAAGGATGTTTGGGGAATGCAGTCAGCGATTGCGCATATCTTTCATGATACGTTATTTGATCCGCTTCTACCGAAGCCATATTGACAATTTTAGCCGAGGTTTAGGAACTTGAAGAAAGCTGGTACTATTAATATTCATGCCACGTGCAAATTGCGTTATGATATTAGCTTTTTAAAAAAGAAGTGAATATTGCAATGTACATTTACCAAACGAAAAGTCGAGTATATGGTATAACACTCAAACAAAGAATAGCTATGGTGACTCACTGGAGCTGTTCTTATTCGTGACAACGCCCATCTCAGTTCTGCTTTAGCCAAACAACTTCTATGACGAAATCGACGTGCTTGAACTCATGGATCCTTCTTAGCAACAAGTGAATATCATTTCTCCCTCGAAATGAAGAACTGGCTAGGAAGCCAAAGCTGCTAGTGAGAAGCTTCAAAGCAAAGTTCTGTCCCTTCATGTCTTTGGTGGCAACGTTCGTCCAGCTCATCTGCACAAAAAACAAACCCCTGGATTTTTGTGGTTCTAGTCAAAAATAGCCATTTTTGTTCATAACTTTTGAATTAAATTTGATCTCTTGTCTTTTTGTTAAAGTCCAGCAGAGGTTGAAATAACGCACCCCTTTGTTCTTGTAATACGCCATTACATAGTTGCTTCATTTTTTTCATTATTATTATTATTATTGTTATTATAATAATAATAAAACATATTATTATTATTATTATTATTTGGATTTTGTAAATTTTCTTAAATTTCATGCAACTGTACAAAATATTTGTTTTCTGATCTATCTGTTTTTTGTATATTTTTGTTTATAAATGTGATCAAAGTGATGAAAACCGTCATTTACCTTACATCGGTTTGTACATTTGTAGATTAAAAACCATTATTGTTCATTGCTGCGATATAGAAATGATTAATGTAATAACAGATTGTTAATTTTTGCATGTAAAATGAAAGCTCAGTTTTGACTCATTGCACGATTAGATCGAATGACATACTTCACCATACATTGTCTCATATTTTATTGTCACTTTTCTCTTTAATGTGAGCGATTCGCTCTGGGCACCAGTGTAACGTAACACAACCCCCGGTCGATTAATGACGTGTTCGTATGTATTATGCAGTTTCATACGTTCACGTCGCGGCATGTATTTTTCTTTTACTTGTCCCGTATTATTAATCTAGTTATCGTGAAATGACGTTGAATTATTGAAATGTTTGGACCATGTATCTACGTAAATGATAATGGACATAGAAAACAGGGAAATTTGTTCTTTGAACGTAAAATCTGTAACGAGACTGACAGGAAAATATTGCTATGCAAGCAAACCCTCATAATCGTGGTTTTTGATGTTTCAGATTGGCAGCCTTCCGAACTTTTACCTTTTCGAGCATCGCCGCGTTCACAAGAGGTCGCTGACTCCCAACGAGGAACACCATCGGAAGCTCAGCGACGAACCAGAGGTAAGTGCTTTTTATCTCTATTTGGTTCTTCTGCATCAAGGTGCGATGACTCGTTATGTATTCGAATAGTATAAGTAGTTATAACTACTTATCGAATCAGTGAAATATACTAATAAATCAAGTTATGTATTCGATAAGTAATTATAACTACTTATCGAATCAGTGAAATATACTAATAAATCAAGTTATGTATTCGATAAGTAGTTATAACTACTTATCGAATGAGTGAAATTTACAAATAAATCAATTTCGTTTTGAAAGTAGAATTATTATTGACGGGTTTTGAATTACAGTATGTCGTAAATATCGTAGTGTGGATAGGTCATGCAAGGCGAAATTTGATAACAGAATTCGAATTAAAATTGAACGGAATTGTAACGAAGGAAATTAGAGAACGGTTGACTGTCTACCGCAGAGATGCGACATGATGTACAATAAAAAAAAAAAGTATTATTGTTATTCCTCGGCGTGTGCCAGTACGACTCTTCATACTATTTTTGTGTACTTGGATGTCGGCGCGATGACATACCGCATTGATATTACTGAGAGTTAATCTTGTCGAAGTCTTGTTTAAACAAATGAACTTTTAATTTTAAATTCGCAATAAAACTTGTATAATATTAACAACCATCTCATATGCTTTGGTGTGCCATAACTTTATCAATTTATAATTGTTTTATTACATTGAACTGGTTTTGAACGTTAATATAGCAGGTAGAAATATATTAACAGAGGGTTTTAGATTAGCGTGTATTTTCTCTTTGCAGTGAATTTTGTACTGAAGTGCAAAATGTGGGTTTCTATTTAGGTAGATAGATAGATTTATTATTTCTGCAGGTAGGTATAGACCCTAGTGGCAGGACACTACAATTTATTGTACATATTACAACTAAGCATTTAGTAATGCTTTTCGAAGAATCAAACTTCCTTTCGAAACATTTAACTTAAAAATACGTGAAACGTTAAGGGTGGAGATTGCGAAAGATGAATATAGCATATTGCAGTCGATATCTTATCGATATCGATTGACGTCTCTATTGCCTTCGATGTGATTTTCTGTCGGGAGCAGGGATGATGAAATTTTGTTTCAATTTATTGGCGGATTTTATCTCCATCTTCTTTTTGTAGGCGGAACTTTATACATCGTTTCCTCTCCGTAGTCGCGTATAGAATATATGAATACAACCGTGACTACGAAGGAAAGCTTCTTGCGAGTTATAAGCCCGCGAAACACGTTCGTTGGGAGGTACTTCATCTCTTGGCGGGATGCGCGCGGAGAGGAGCTTCGCTCGCTCTGCCCTTGATTCGCTGGCAAGCGACCTTGCGCCCTGGGAACAACGCGGAGCTCGCAACAGAAAAAGGCTTCCGCGCAAGTAGCCGGAGTCCGCGCCGGCCGTAACTCGGTGCGGCGCGGCGCGGCGCGGCGCGGCTGCGGCTGGGGCGAAAGGTGAACGGGGCTCGCCCGAAGCCACAAGTTGCCCGTGCATCAGCGGGGACGCGCTCCCGGCGCGGCGCGGCGCGGCTCGCGAGGAGAAGCGGGTTCACGCCCGCGGAGAGCGTTGATCTCGCGGATCTCCTCGGACGGGGGAACCTTCCTTGCGATTCACTGGAGTCTCGCGGCAATAGTTGTCCGTTTGGCCCTTATCAACGAATTGAAATATGACAGTCGTGTTTGTTGAGTGACTTGTGTATATTACGCATTTTTGCGTTTTAATGTCGCAAATAAACTTCTTGGCAGTATTATTTGACATGCCTAATATTTCACTGTCTATTCCTTTCTATATTATGATTGTACTATATTTAAAATTGAAGAAAATTAGATTTTTTTTTTGCAAAAAGTCCCACAACGTATTAGTACGTTCATTAGCAAATTCACTAACGATTACAAATCGTAATTTCAATTTGTATCATCGCACTTTCCTACCAAGTAAGAGACTTCCCCACATTTTAATTTTTAATTGTTTTGATTTAGTTATTTCAATTCATTATAAATACAAAAAGTTTATTATAAAGGACATTTTAAAAATATTATTCTATGTCCAATTTTCTTCTGGTAGATATTTTTGTTCGTTAATATCGACTCAAAAATAAAAATAGTGGTACACACAGTATTTTGCGTTCTGGCATTTTATTCGCGAATAATAACGCAGTAATTTACTGGCTTGTTTCGACAGACTATATATGATTCGTGTTTTGTTTGGGACAAATGTATTGTTTCGCAAATGAGAAGGCGTCGACGTCATTGATCAATGTAGTATGCCTTCAGCTCGTCTTTCTTATAGAGGACAAAGTTAAGAACGTTGACTACAAAACCGTACTGATATGAATGTTCGTTTCAGGTTAAGTAATTTCACTATGTGTTAATGATATGATGTCAGATGTTTATTTTGACTTCGGAGGAAGTCTTCATGTGTAGCAGCAGTTTAAAAATGTTGCTTCTTTCCTATTAAATTCTTTTAGCTATGTTCCTCTTTAATAATACATCTCGTTTATCTCGCAAAATAACATATCCACGTGAAATTTGTTTTCACGTTCGCCGAAGATGCATCTTTCTGTTGGTTCGAGGTGCGGCGTGCTGAACTGAACTGAAGTCGCGAGCGTGCATCATCGTGATTGGCTGCGGTGGCGCGTTAGGCGGCGTGGGTGCGTCGCCTGGCGGTGCAGCGGCGCGCGAGTTCGCAGCTCGGGAAGTTGGACGCCGGCGGGCACGTCCTCGCACGCCGCCTCCCCCTCCCCTGCCCCGCGGCCGATGCCAAACCCCGCCTACTCGCACCTGCGCGCTCGTTCCGCCCCGCCCCCTCCCGCGCCGCGCCCTCCGCCGCGCGTCGTTAAAACTGCCGGCGCCTCTCCATCAGCGGCGTCGCGGCGCCCGCGTGGGCGAGCGGGCGGGCCTGTGGACACCCGCGGGGACTCCCCTAGCCCCCCCACCCCCAACCCTCACCATCACCCTCATCCTCACCCACCACCCTCACCACCAACCCTTCGGGCGGCCGCCGCTCCCGCACTTTGTGGCCCCGCTTTGTCTGTCGGAGGCTTTAAGAGCGTCCGCAGGCGGGCGCGCAAGTCGAAGAAAGTCACGCGAACCAACTTCCAACTTGCCGAGAATTTTATTCGCTGTCCTGTTTACAATAATTCTCGAAATCACGTCTCAACGATTTGTGTTGGCCCGGCGTTGTCTAAGTTGGGAGACCAGCCGCGAATGGTTATCGCGATTTTGTAAAGTATGAGATGGTCCTTCAGGATTTGTTTTATCTTTAATCGAACTTTATTCTTTGTTCCCTCTGTTCGGACTTGTCACTTTTAAGAAGTAAAGGAAGTTTCTTTACGAATTTAAAACACATTCGTAGGAATCGACGTCTCATTAATCAGCGGAGTGGGGTTTATTTCCGCGGTCCTTCTCTTTCGGGGCAGGTTGCCAACAATGGAAAGTAGGGCTCCGCTTCCTGAAGCAGTCCTTCGACCACCCAGTGCGTTTTCTCCACTCCGTCTCCCCAACATCTACTCCCCCCGGCATTCACCAATAGATGTTTGCCGACCATCGCCACCACCCACGGCTTCCGCCACTCACCGCAATATCTGCCTCACCCCCCTTCCCTCTTCCACCCACCGCTCTCCATCGTCTTTACCTTTTTGTGCCCCGGGCCCTCCTCCTCTGTTATCTCCCTCGCCTCAGACTCTGAAATCGGCGGAAAATTCGTGAAAGGGTTCGTCACTGGATTGGCGGAGAACTGGAGAAGGACTGCGAAGTTGGCTGGCTGGGCTATAACATGAGAATCTTTTCATTCTTACTCTCCTCTGGGTCCGCGACGCCGCGGCTGCGTCCTCGCAAGGGGCGGGGTGCGTCACTCTCATAAGCTCCTCCCGCAGAACTTTCGGACGAGGGCGGGGCGGGGGCGGCGGAAAAGTCGCTTTGGAGTCCGGTTGGCGTAGGCAACGGCGGCGACGCGCGCGGGAGCAGGACTGCGCCCCACCGGTACCTCCCACTGCCTTTTAGAGGCTGCCAATGTTGTCCAGAAAGCTGGAAAAGGGAAAAAAACACCCAGAAGACCTTGGGGAACACGGGAAGTCTATAGCATTGATGGATGCTACGTGAGGAACTAAAATACGTGAAGAAAAGTGCAAATGCATAGGGTAAGAAGTAAGATGTTAATTGGCTAATCCGACCCTGATAGCAAAAGAGAAAGAAGAATAGAAGATGAAAAAAAGAAGGTTTCCAGACTTTTAAAAATGAAGCGTTGTGTGTCATACTTGAAATTATTTGGTTGTCATAATTAAGTTAATGTACGTTTCATTTTCCAAATGCTGTGCGTTTTATTGCGTAAATATTTTTTTTTATATTTAAAATGTATCAGGAAGTTTTATAAATTAACAGTTTTGATCGAGACTCAATTTTGGGTGTCATGTATTGTTTCCAGACTTCCTCAAACGCTTTTAGAGAAATGTAGAACATAAGTTATTTGAATATTTCACTATCCATTTTGTATAGCATGTTACAACTTACCACTTACTGAGTCAAAAAATCATAGTAAACCATTCCGTTCTCATTAACTATTTGGCTTTCATTTGATTAATTTACAGTATACTTTGTCTTCTTTAGCAGTTACTGAAAAGGATTACAATAAGTCTAAATATCAATGTCTTGTTCAGCTTCGCATTATCGTGGCCATTACGTAATTTCTGCTCGTTTCGACCTCGACCATCGCCGCCGCCCTCGCCCGCTCTCGCGTCAAGGCCACTGAAGACGAGCCCCCCCCCGCCCCCGCCCTCGCCGGGTGGGGCGCTGGCGATGGCTCTCGCGGGGGCGATCGCCCGCGGGCGAAGGGCTCGCAGGGCGGGCGGCGACCGGGCGGCGACCAGGCGGCGCCACCGCCGCCGGCAACGAGTGCGCCGTTCAATTATTCCGTTAAGCCAATTGCGTTGTATTTGCATGCTCCTTCGCCGTCGGCGTTGCCATGTCGACAGAGTGGATCTTGGCGCGGGGTAATCGCGTTAGGGGAAGCATGCACGTGCGTCCCGCGGGGCAGCGGAGGAGATGGGGCGGAGAGAGACAACGCCTATGGCGGACTCGGGAGAAGCGGGAGGGGAAGTACGTTGGCTTTTGTGTCCGCGGTGAGCACGGAAACCCCGAGTGTACATAACTACTACCTAAGTGGGTGGTGATACAGCGTCGAGGAGTTGTGATGCAGTAAAAAATAATAATGTGTAAGTGAATATCATAATACATATGTGAAGAGTAAAAATAGTGCACACAAAAGAAGGAAGTGGAAAGGAGTTGTATGCGGAGGGAATATGTGCAAGTTATGGGGAAAAATTGGTGGATTGAAAGAATAAGAAGGAAAACAAAGGTTTGCGAAGGTGGATATCACATGTTCAAAAGACCGTAAGTATGCG